GGTGATGTGTGTGTGTGTTGTAGAGGTGATGTGTGTGTTGTGGTAGGTGATGTGTGTGTGTGTTGTGGTAGGTGATGTGTGTGTGTGTTGTGGTAGGTGATGTGTGTGTGTGTGTGTTGTGATAGGTGTGTGTGTGTGTTGTGTGTGTGTGTGTCTTGTGGTAGGTGGTATGTGTGTTGTGGTAGGTGGTGTGTGTGTGTGTGTGTGTGTGTGTGTGTGTGTGTGTGTGTGTGTGTGTGTGTGTGTGTGTGTGTGTGTGTGTGTGTGTGTGTGTGTGTGTGTGTGTGTGTGTGTGTGTGTGTGTGAATATGTGTGTGTTACTATTTTATTAGTATGGTATATAGGAGATTTTGGGGCTGGACGCTGGTAAGAGATATTTCTGATGGACACTAGCGGCCATGATGGTAAACAATGACGAATCGAGGTGCGTCAAGCCCACATTTACGTGATTTTTGTAAACAATCTTGGTCACGGCTTCTGCATCACCCGCGGGGTTTACGTGGTATTGTTGCTTAGAAAACCTTGATTTTGATTTTGCCGCTTACAGCGGCTACTTTATTGTGCACCCCACACGCATCCTGTGAGCGGTAGCGCAAACGGATTACAGAGTAGAGTTTACAACGGGTCATAATAATTAATCCCCGTTGTCAGGATATTATGGGACTGAATGTTACACAGTATTTCAATTACAATATTTGTTTAGTTCTATTCATAAAGGGTAACTTTTTCACATATGCGTGAGTACAGGCGTGTGAGGCAGTATGTCTGGCCTCACACTTTGTTATTCACATTTGCGTGAGAAGTATTCAAGCACATTGTGTATTTGGTTCTATACATGAGAACTGATATAGTTACTAACTGCAAAAAGTGGATACAATCTTAATATGACGGCTATCTTGCCATTAGAGATGAAGTGTTGTGCCATTTCACACACAGTGTGCTTGGACCCGTCCCTAAAAGGTTCTATCTTTCACAGTAGGGAAATATTTAGAGTGATAAAGAGGATGGGGTGTAGGAGGGGGAGGTGAGGAGATTGGGTGTGGGAGAGGGAGAGGGAGGAGGGAGGTAAGAGAGGGATGGGTCGGGTATGGGTGTAGGGAGGGAGGTGAGGAATATGGGATGTAGGAGAAGGGGTAGGAGACGGAAGGTAGGTGTAGAAGGGGAGGGAGTGGGTGTAGGAGGAGGGGAGGGAAGGGAGGTCATCAGGGGTAGATACAAATGACAATCTGAACCCTAATAAATTACTTCCTGGATTTTAATGTATTACTCGTATGGTTTTTATTGTATTATTTTTTAGCTGTGTTATGAAATTTTCTTATTATGATATATTTTTCATATTTCATTTTAACTAATGATAGCATAAATTGGTTAATTCACAAACATACCTGAAATAATAGACCTAATATTTTTTTGTCATTAAAGGAATAGGGTCGTGTAGTTTAAACACTTAATGCAGACGATCCTCTATTCCCAGGATTCTTCATTTGTTTCTGAGCCGGGGAGTTCCTTGGCTCTCTCGGTTCGTTACGATATTCCAGAAAAAGTTAACAGTCAGTCTGGTGTGAGCCTTTCCGACCTCATTCATCAAGAAAAATTTGCTGAAGTAAATATTTATGACATAAAAATGTTGGGATACTTTTGTGTGTGTGTGTGTGTGTGTGTGTGTGTGTGTGTTTAGCGAAGATTATTTTATTTAGTGGAGACGGGGATGGATGAATGAAATTAGCCATCGAGTCCCCGTAGAGTTTTACTTGGTAGCCTTAAGTAAAGACATTCTAAGTCGTTTTAAGAGTGGAGGGCATTGGTTGCCTACCCTCAGTGAAGAGAATGTGAATTTGATTAATTAATTCAGACAGAAGAAAAGGTTATAGCCTGCACACACACACACACACACACACACACACACACACACACACACAACAAAAACAACACACACACACACACACACACACTGACTGCTTGTCATAATATATGCAGCACACCTACAGCCCGCACCCTTTGTGTCGTAGAGGAAATGAGCCATTTGTAAACCCGATACACTTGCAGCGTTTCATCGGCAGCATTTGGGGTTGAAGTAAAGGGTGAGAGATACAACTAACCAGTGTATGAGACGCGAAGGAGGAGAGATTTTAAGAACAAGGAAGTAGTGGGGTTGAGAATCGTGTCGTAGATGCAAGTAAATCAGGTTTTTCTGTGATGAGACGCGTGTTCCTAGCGAGGCTGTAGGGATCTGTTCCACCCTTGTCAAGCGAGAGAGGTAATGTTATCGTTGACGCACAGAGGGTTACCGAAGATGGTCCCTAAAGCAGTGTTCTGTATGGTGGCCAAGTGGTTCATATGCAAATTAGGAAGAGGTTCAAGGTGGACAGCATGATGGTTGGTGACGGACCGTATTTACAGGAGATAAGATTGTGCCCCTATTTACAGGAGCTTACAGAACTTAGACCTACTGTAGCCTGACAGGTAAACGCATTGGGGCAATTTATTTTAACAACACCTGGATTTACAGAACCTCGGGTTGGTTACGCTGGGGTTAGATGTCACCATAAACAGTCGTAGTGCTGAGGTGTAGAATGTTGATCATCTGGTCACTGAGAGCTACTACCTTCACATATACTGGGGGTGAGTGTTCCTCTGGCCTATCTCCTCCTTGTCGTTCACTACAACTTTTTCTTCCAATTTCCTGGTTAATATTCATGTACGTACAAAGTTTATCAGTGTGTGTGTGTATGTGTGTGTGTGTGTGTGTGTGTTGAATGTTGTTTAGAATTTAATATATTTCGTTTTAATGTTTTAGCTTATTTTATTTTGTTTAAATTAAGGTGAGAAATTTGTAGTATGTGTTGTGGCGGTAAACTAGAACTAGTCTGTTGGCAATCCCGTCTTGACCTTGGAGTGTGACCTTGGCTTTTGTCACTGTTGTCTTGGCTGTGGTCCAGTGCATGGTCACCAAGGCTTAACTACTCTGTCCCAGGTTAGTCGTCCTAACGTGATACATACATACATACATACATACACACATACATACATACATACATACATACATACATACATACATACATACATACATATATACATACATACACACACACACACACACACACACACACACACACACACACACACACACACACACACACACACACACAAACATACATATACATACACAAACACACACACTGGAGCAGCACATACAGAACCAATCTGACGGCTTCAACACATCAGGTATCATGGTGACGTCACAACAACAGTTAGGATTATGAAAACTTGTGTGAGCTTCTGCCTCTCTGTCTCTCTCCTAGCTCCTGTCTCTCTCTCCTAGCTCCTGTGTCTCTCCTAGCTCCCGTGTCTCTCCTAGCTCCTGTGTCTCCTAGCTCCTGTCTCTCTCCTAGCTCCTGTGTCTCTCCTAGTTCCTGCTCTCTCCTAGCCCTGTGTCTCCTAGCTCCTGTCTCTCTCCTAGCTCCTGTGTCTCTCCTAGCTCCTGTCTCTCCTAGCTCCTGTCTCTCTCCTAGCTCCTGTCTCTCTCCCTAGCTCCTGTCTCTCTCTCCTAGCTCCTGTCTCTCCTCCTAGCTCCTGTCTCTCTCCTAGCTCCTGTGTCTCTCCTAGCTCCTGTCTCTCTCCTAGCTCCTGTGCTCTCCCAGTTCCTGTCTCTCTCCCAGGCTCCCTGTGTCCTCCTAGCCCTGTCTCTCTCCTAGCTCCTGTGTCTCCTAGCCCCTGTCTCTCTCCTAGCTCCTGTCTCTCTCCTAGCTCCTGCTCTCTCCTAGCTCCTGTGTCTCTCCTAGCCCTGTGCCCTCCCTAGCCCTGTGTCTCCTAGTTCCTGTCTCTCTCCTAGCTCCTGTGTCTCCTAGCTCCTGTGTCTCCTAGCTCCTGTGTCTCTCCCTAGCTCCTGTGTTCTCCTAGCTCCTGTGTCTCCTCCTAGTTCCTGTCTCTCTCCTAGCTCCTGTGTCTCCTAGCTCCTGTGTCTCTCCTAGCTCCTGTGTCTCCTAGCTCCTGTGTCTCTCCTAGCTCCTGTGTTCTCCTAGTTCCTGTCTCTCTCCCAGCTCCTGTGTCTCTCCTAGCCCTGTGTCTCCTAGCCCTGTGTCTCCTAGCTCCTGTGTCTCCTAGCTCCTGTGTCTCTCCTAGCCCTGTGTCTCTCCTAGCCCTGTGTCTCTCCTAGCTCCTGTGTTCTCCTAATCCTGTGTCTCCTAGCTCCCGTGTCTCCTAGCCCCCGTGCTCTCTCCCAGCTCCCTGTGTTCCTCCCTAGTTCTTGTCTCTCCTAGCTCCTGTGTCTCTCCTAGCTCCTGTGTCTCTCCCAGCTCCTGTGTCTCTCCTAGCTCCCGTGCTCTCCTAGCTCCTGTGTCTCTCAGCTCCTGTGTTCTCCTAGCTCCTGTGTTCTCCTAGCTCCTGTGTGTCTCCTAGCCCTGTGTCCTCCTATTCTGTGTCTCTCCTAGCTCCTGTGTTCTCCTAGCTCCTGTCTCTCTCCTAGCTCCCTGTGCTCTCCCTAGCTCCTGTCTCTCTCCCTAGCTCCCGTGTCTCTCCTAGCTCCTGTGTCTCCTAGCTCCCTCCCCCTAGCTCCGTGTTCTCCTAGCTCCTGTGTCTCCTAGCTCCCGTGACTCTCCAATCCTGTGTTCTCCTAGCCCTGTGCTCCCTCCTAGCTCCTGTCTCTCTCCTAGCTCCCGTGCTCTCCTAGCTCCTGTCTTCCCTAGCTCCTGTGTTCTCCTAGCTCCTGTGTCTCTCTCCCAGCTCATGTGCCTCTCTCCTAGCTCCTGTGCTCTCCCCTAGCTCCTGTGTCTCCTAGCTCCCCGTGTCTCTCCTAGCTCCTGCTCTCCCAGCTCCTGTGTCTCCTAGCTCCTGTGTCTCTCCTAGCTCCTGTGTGTCTCCTAGCTCCTGTGTCTCTCCTAGCTCCTGTCTCCTAGCTCCTGTGTCTCCTAGCTCCCTGTGTCTCTCCTAGCTCCTGTGTCTCCCTAGCTCCTGTGTGTCTCTCCTAGCTCCTGTGCTCTCCTAGCTCCTGTGCCTCCTAGCCCTGTGTCTCTCCTAGCTCCTGTGTCTCCTCCTAGCCCTGTGTCTCTCCTAGCTCCTGTGTGTTCTCCTAGCTCCTGTGTCTCTCCAAGCTCCCGTGTGCTCTCCTAGCTCCTGTGTCTCTCCTAGCTCCTGTGTTCTCCTAGCTCCTGTCTCGTCTAGCTCCTGTCTCTCCTAGCTCCCGTGTCTCCTAGCTCCTGTGTCTCTCCTAGCTCCTGTGTCTCCTAGCTCCTGTGTCTTCCTAGGCTCCTGTGTCTCCTCCTAGCTCCCGTCTCTCGTCTAGCTCCTGTGTCTCTCCTAGCCTCCTGTGTCTCCTAGCTCCTGTCTCTCGTCTAGCTCCTGTGTTCTCCTAGCTCCGTGTTCTCCTAGCTCCCTGTGTTCTCCTAGCTCCTGTGTGTCTCTCCTAGCCCTGTGTCTCTCCTGTAGCTCCTGTGTCTCCTAGCTCCCGTCTCGTCTAGCTCCTCCTGTGTCCTCCCAGCCCTGTGTCTCTAGCTCCCGTCTCGTCTAGCTCCTGTCTCTCCTAGCTCTGTCTCTTTTAGCTCCAGTCTCCTAGCTCCTGTCTCTCCTAGCACCCGTATCTCTCTCCCTAGCTTTTATGTCACCTCTCCTAGCTCCTCTGTCTCCTAGCTCCTGTGTCTCTCCCAGCTCCTGTGTCTCTCCTAGCTCCCGTCTCTCTAGCTCCCAGGTTCCCTCCTAGCTCCTGTGTCTCTTCTAGCTCCTGTGCTCTCCTAGCTCCTGTGTCTCTCCTAGCTCCTGTGTTCTCCCTAGCTCCCGCTCCTCTAGCTCCTGTGTCTCTCCTAGCCCTGTGTCTCCTAGCTCCCTGTGCTCCCCTCCCTAGTCCTGTGTTCTTAGCTCCTGTGTCTCTCCTAGCTCCTGTGTCTCTCCTAGCTCCTGTCTCTTCTAGCTCCTGTCTCTCCTAGCACCCGTATCTCTCCCAGCTTTTATGTCACTCTCCTAGCTCCTGTGTCTCCTCCTAGCTCCTGTGTCTCTCCTAGCTCCCGTCTCTCTCTAGCTCCTGTGTCTCTCCTAGCTCCCGTCTCTCCTAGCTCCGTCTCTCTCCTAGCTCCTGTGTCTCTCCCTAGCTCGTGTCTCCTACGTCTCTCTCCTAGCTCCTGTCTCTCCTAGCTCCCGTCTCTCCTAGCTCCCGTCTCTCCTAGCTCCTGTCTCTCCTAGCTCCTGTGTCTCTCCCTGGCTCCTGTGTCTCTCCTAGCTCCTGTGTCTCTCCTAGCTCCGTCTCTCTTCTAGCTCCTGTGTCTCTCTAGCTCCTGTCTCTCCTAGCACCTGTATCTCTCTCTAGCTTTTATGTCGCTCTCCCAGCTCCTGTCTCTCCTAGCTCCTGTGTCTCTCCCTGGCTCCCGTGTCTCTCCCCAGCTCCTGTGTCTCTCTCAGCTCCTGTGTCTCTCCTAGCTCCTGTGTCTCTCCTAGCTCCCGTGTCTCTCTAGCTCCTGTGTCTCTCCCAGCCCCGTCTCTCTCAGCTCCTGTGTCTCTCCTAGCTCCTGTCTCTAGCTCCCAGTCTCCCTAGCTCCTGTGTCTCTCCCTAGCTCCCGTCTCTCTAGCTCCTGTCTCTTTAGCTCCAGTCTCTCTCCTAGCTCCTGTCTCTCCTAGCTCCATGCTCTTTCCTAGTTCCTGAGTCTCTCCCAGCTCCTGTGTCTCTCCCCAGCTCTGTGTCTCACCTAGCTCCTATGTTTCTCTCCTAGCTCCTGTCTCTCCTAGCACCGTATCTCTCTCTGGCTTTCTGTCTCTCTAGCTCCTGTGTCTCTCCCTAGCTCCTGTCTCTCCTACCCTGTCTCTCTTCCTAGTTCCTGAGTCTCTGCTCCTGTCTCTCCGCCTAGCTCTGTCCTCACCTAGCTCGGTCTCTCCTAGCTCCTGTGTCTTACCTATCTCCTGCCTTCACCTAGCTCCTGTGCCTCACCTAGCTCCTGTGTCTCACCTAGCTCCTGTCTCTGGCTCTATACTAGCTCATGTGCTCTCGTCACCACCCCCCTGTGTCTCCCTAGCTCCTGTGTCTCACCCAGCTCCTGTGCCTCACCTAGCTCTGTGCCTCACCTAGCTCACCTATGCCACCTAGCTCCTGTGCCTCACCTGGCTCCTGTGCTCACCTAGCTCTGTGTCTCACCTAGCTCCTGTGTCTCACCTAGCTCCATGTGTCTCACCCCTAGCTCCTGTGCCTCACCTAGCTCTCTGTCTCACCCAGCTCTGTGCCTCACCTAGCTCCTGTGTCTCCACCTAGCTCCTGTGCCTCACCTAGCTCCCTGTGCCTCACCTAGCTCCTGCTCACTGGCTCCTGTGTCTCTCACCTAGCTCTGTGTCTCACCTAGCTCCTGTGTCCCACCTAGCTCCTGTCTCCCTAGCTCCTCACCTAGCTCCTGTGCCTCACCTAGCTCCTGTGTCTCACCTAGCTCCTGTGCCTCACCTAGCTCCTGTGTCTCACCTAGCTCCTGTGCCTCACCTGGCTCCTGTGTCTCACCTAGCTCCTGTGTCTCACCTAGCTCCTGTGCCTCACCTAGCTCCTGTGTCTCACCTGGCTCCTGTGTCTCACCTAGCTCCTGTGCCTCACCTAGCTCCTGTGTCTCACCCCTAGCTCCTGTGCCTCACCTAGCTCCTGTGTCTCACCTAGCTCCCTGTGCCTCCACCTAGCTCCTGTGCCTCACCTAGCTCATGTGCCTCACCTAGCTCCCTATGCACGCCTAGCTCCTGTGCCTCACCCCAGCTCTGTGTCTCACCTAGCTCCTGTGCCCACCTAGCTCCTGTGCCTCACCTAGCTCATGTGCCTCACCCAGCTCTGTGCCTCACCTAGCTCCTGTGCCTCACCTGGCTCATGTGCCTCACCCTAGCTCATGTGCCTCACCTAGCTCCTGTGTCTCCCACCTAGCTCATGTGCCTCCACCTAGCTCCTGTGCCTCACCTAGCTCCTGTGCCTCACCTAGCTCCTGTGTCTCACCTAGCTCCTGTGCCTCACCCTAGCTCCTGTGGCTCATGTGTCTCACCTAGCTCCTGTGTCTCCCTAGCTCATGTGTCTCCCATCCTGTGTCTCCACCCACTTCCTGTGCCTCACCTAGCTCCTGTCCTCACCCTGGCTCCCGTGCCTCACCTAGCTCGTGTGCCTCACCTAGCTCCCTGTGTCTCACTAGCTCCTGTGCCTCACCTAGCTCCTGTGCCTCACCTAGCTCCTGTGCCTCACCTAGCTCATTGCCTCACCAGCTCCTGCCTCCACCTAGCTCCTGCTCACCAGCTCCTGTGCCTCACCCAGCTCCTGTGCACTCACCTAGCTCCTGTGCCTCACCTAGCTCTGTGCCTCACTGCTCCTGTGCTCACCTAGCTCATATGCCTCACCTAGCTCCTGTGCCTCACCCCACATCCTGCACTCACCTAGCTCCTGTGCCTCACCTAGCTCCTGTCTCACCTAGCTCCTGTGTCTCACCTAGCTCATGTGCCCCACCCAGCTCTGTCTCACCTAGCTCCTGTGTCTCACCTAGCTCTTGTGTCTCCACCTAGCTCCTGTGCCTCCACCTGGCTCTGTGCCTCACCTAACTGTGCCTCACCCAGCTCATGTGCCTCCCTAGCTCTGTGCCTCACCTGGCTCACTCTGCCTCACCTAGCTCCTGTGCCTCACCTAGCTCCTGTGTCTCACCTGGCTCCTGTGCCTCACCCCAAGCTCATGTGTCTCACTGGCTCCTGTGCCTCACCCAGCTTCTGCCTCACCTAGCTCCTGTGTCTCACCTAGCTCCTGTGCCTCACCTAGCTCCTGTGCCTCACCCCCTGTCTCACCCAGCTCCTGTGCCTCACCTAGCTCCTGTGCCTCCCACCTAGCTCCTGTGCCTCACCTAGCTCCTGTGCCTCACCTAGCTCCTGTGTCTTGCCTAGCTCATGTGCCTCCCACCTAGCTCTGTGCCTCCCTGGCTCCTGTGCCTCACCTAGCTCCTGATGTGCCTAAGCTCATGTGCCTCACTGGCTCCCTAGTGTCCTCACCAAACCTCATGCGTCTCACTAGCTCCTGTGTCTCACCCACCTCACCCCAAACCAGCTCCTGCTCCTGTCTCACCCCTAGCTCCATGTATAGCCCACGGCGCTCACCTAGCTCCGTGTCTCACCTGTCCCTGTTCTCACCCTATCCGTGCCTCTCCCAACTACTTGTCTCACCTAGCTCCTGTGTCTCACCTAGCTCCTGTGTTATAGCACTAGCTCATGTGCTCTCACCTAGCTCCTGTGTCTCACCTAGCTCCTGTCCTCACTAGCTCCTGTGTCTCCTGCTCCTGTGCCTCACCTGGCTCCTGTGTCCCACCTAGCTCCTGTGTCTCCACACCTAGCTCCTGTGTCTCACCCTAGCTCCTGTGCCTCACCTGGCTCCTGTGTCTCACCCTAGCTCCTCATGCCTCTCATAGCTCCTGTCTCTCTCCAGCTCTGTATCCCATCATAGCTCCTGTATCTCTCACCTGGCTCTCAGCCTCTCACCTAGCTCTGTCTCTACTTAGCTCCTGTCCTCTAAACCACCTGTGCCTCACCTAGCTCATGTGTCCTCACTAGCTCCCATGTCTCCCTCTCCTGCTGTATCTCCCAGCTCCTGTATCTCTCACTTAGCTCCTGTATCTCTCACGCCCAGCTCCTGTCTCTCCACACTTTTGCTTCCTGTATCTCTCACTTAGCTCACCTTGTCTATCTAGCTCTGTGTCTCACCTAGCCATGTGCTCTAGTTCCTGTGTCTCACCTAAGCTCTGTATCTCTCACTTAGCTCCTGTATCTCACTTAGCTCTGTATCTCACACCAACTCCCTGTGCCTCCCACCCAGCTCATGTGCCTCCACCTAGCTCCTGTATCTCTCACTTAGCTCCTGTATCTCTCCACCTAGCTCCTGTATCTCATAGCTCCTGTATCTCTCCACCTAGCTCCTGTACTCTCACTTAGCTCTGTCTCTCACTAGCTCCTGTCTCTCCCACTTAGCTCTGTATCTCTCACCTACCTCTTGTGTATTTCTCCTAGTTCCTGTTCTCTCTCTCATTACTTCTATGTATATCTCCTATCTCCCATCTCTCTCCCCCCAGCTCCCGTGTCTCTCCCAGCTTGACGCCCAGCGCAGTGTGGGTGGAGGGTCTTCAAAACACGTGTTGTATTTACTGACAACAGAATATTAAAGTGTAGTCCAGGTTTTAATTCACGTGGGCGATGCGTGAGGTGTTGGTGGTGGTGATGTTGATGGTGACAGTAAGTTGTGGTGGTGGAGGTGGTTAACTGGTGAGAGTGGTGATGGTGCTGATGGTTAGCTGGTGGTAGTGGTGGTGGTACTGATGGTTAGCTGGTGGTAGGTTGTGGTGGTGGAGGTGGTTAACTGGTGGTAAGTTTGGCGTTGAGTGGTGGTGGTACTGATGGTTAGCTGGTGGTAGGTTGTGGTGGTGGAGGTGGTTAACTGGTGATGGTTGTAGTGGTGGTGGTGCTGATGGTTAGCTGGTGGTAGGTTGTGGTGGTAGGTTGTGGTGGTGGTGGGGGATTTGAGGCTTGTGGAATGTAAGTAACACTGTACCGATATCTAGGAGTGAATGAGTGTTTACCTGACGCGAAGATACTGTTGTTCCCGCAACTCCTAACTATGATGGAGACCTCAACTCACTCTCTCATACACTCTCTCCTCACACTGCCTCTTCCCTCACACTCATCATTACCCAACTCCTCACCATTCACACTCACCACCACCCTACTCTTCACCATTCACACTCACCACCACCCTACTCCTCACCATTCACACTCACCACTACCCTCCCACCATTCACTCACCACCCACCCTACCCCACCCACCACCACTCACCATTCAACTCACCACCACCCTACTCCTCACCATTCACACTCAACCACCACCACCCCTACTCCTCACCATTCACACTCACCCACCCTACTATTCACCATTCACACTCACCACCACCCTACTCCCATTCACACTCACCACCACCCCTACTCCTCACCATTCACACTCACCACTACTCCTCACCATTCACACTCACCACCACCCTACTCCTCACCATTCACCTCACCACCACCCTACTCCTCACCATTCACACTCACCTACTCCTCACTCACCACACCCTACTCCTCACCATTCCACACTCCACCACTACTCCTCACCATTCACACTCACCACCACCCTACTCTTCACCATTCACACTCACCACCACCCTACTCTTCACCATTCCACACTCACCACCACCACCCCACCACACCACCACCCTACTCTTCACCATTCACACTCACCACCACCCTCTCCCCCACCCTTCTTCACCACACCACCCACCCTACTCTTCACCATTCACACTCACCACCACCCTACTCTTCACCATTCACACTCACCACCACCCTACTCCTCCCTTCACTCGCCGCCTCTCCCCAAACACTGCCTTGAAGACTCACTATATTATGTACACTTCTCCACGGTCGCTTCCTCCATTAACACTGTGACATCTATTAATAAAACCTCCACTGATTATTATCGTTAGTTTCTTTTATTGTCAACTGGTTATCGCTGTTTACTCTTCGTTATATATCAGTGTCCGTGATATATCTGTGTCCGTGAGTGTCCGTGATATATCTTGTGAGGTGTAAGTGATATATCTGTGTCCGTGAGGTGTCCGTGATATATCTATGTCCGTGAGTGTCTGTGATATATCTGTGTCCGTGAGGTGTCGTATAACACTGTGTCCGTGAGAGTGTCCGTGATATATCTGTGTCCGTGAGAGTGTCCGTGATATATCTGTGTCCGTTCGATATATCTGTGTCCGTGAGTGTCTGTGATATATCTGTGTCCGTGAGTGTCCGTGATATATCTGTGTCCGTGAGAGTGTCCGTGATATATCTGAACACTTTAGCTCGTATTTTAAACTATAGTAAATGGATATAACACAACATAATATAAAATGTCACTAAACATTATTTTCTGTCATTAATATTATTTTTTTCCCCGCCGGAGTTAATAAATGGCCTTGATTACTCAGTAGGGAGCTAGTATCAACTTCTCTAGCTACCCTACGACCCCTCTACCGAGATGACGTGCCCTGACCTCCAGCCTCCGGTAAAAGAGTGGATAGCTTACTCTACAAGGTTCCCCCTCCTCCACCCCCCCATCCTTTCCCTTTCCTCCCTCCCTTCTCTTTTCTCCTCCCTTCTTTTTCTCCCTCCCTTCCCTTTTCCCTCCCCATCTCTCCCTACTCCCCTCTCCATCCCTCCTACTTTTTCTTCTCTCAATCAAACGTCCATTCACCCACTCGTTACCACTCAATTCTTATTATCTCCTTAACATTACCTTTACTAACATTGATTTCTCTCTATTCTAAATTCTCTCCATATCATCTTTCCATTTTTATCAAATTATGAACAAAGATGAGAGAGAGAGGACAAATAAATCTCTTTATACTCCGTTAACTTGAAGACTTTTTTATTTGGATTCCAGTAACTTATGCTCTCACTTTAGGAGTCATAAACGTGTCAGACCACGATCTTAAAAGTCACCCCCAAGATGTAGACATCAAGACCAGCAGAGTCCAGACTGCGACGTACACAGACCAAGAATGTGGTAGTACAGTATATACAAAGTGATACCCGTGTGTGTGTGTGTGTGTGTGTGTGTGTGTGTGTGTGTGTGTGTGTGTGTGTGTGTGTGTTATGTCATCTGCCACCACAACCAAAGATCATGTCCTTGTCTTTCCTGTAACACCGACACCGCCTCTGTTATCAAGATGTGACCACTACCAAATTATATACCCCTTAACAACGTCGTCTAAAGCATGAGTAAAAAAAAAAAAAAAAATTTATGCACTGTTATTCCCCATTAGAGCGTGTGTTGTGTGCCCTAAATTTAGAAATGCTCATTACCACCTAATTTCCAAGCAATCCTTTTTAATTCTCTCCTCCTCTCTCTCTCTCTCTCTCTCTCTCTCTCTCTCTCATTTTTACGAAGTTGTGTGTGATGCCCTGTTCATGTGTTAACGTCTCAGGATATGGGTGTGGATGATGTCACCTTCTTACCTTCAAGTACAAGGTCGTGTTACAAGATTTATATAAAAAAAATTCCTCGTCGCATTTTCATTATTTTGTAAGATGTTTGGAGTTACAGCTATATGTTTTATTATTATGATAGGATCCTTCATAATTTATTATTTTTCTTTCTACCATATACGTTATTTCTCTCTCTCTCTCTTCTTTTTCTTCATCTTTCACTCTTCCCTCCTTTATTTTCTGTAATTCACTCCCTCTCCTCTCCCTTACCTTTGGTAATTCATTTTCTCTCCCTCCCTTCCGCCCTCTCTTAATATAGCTAAATCACAGAACTAACAGAATCAT